AAATAATTCGTTTTGGACACGAGGTTGTTTTAGCGGATGAAGAGACATTCGAGATGCATTTACGCATTGCAGATGTTCAAATACCGTTGAACCATGTCCTGTTTAGGTTATCATAGGTAACTGGGGTCAAAAACGATTATGCACTACAGGTGAAATCTGGCCTTGCAAGAGTTTTGCTTCATTTAACATACCCTGGCGTAAAACGCATTTTGACGCAAGTTGAATGAGATTGGAAACGAACCAAACAGTATAGAATCCCTAACACGTCGACAGTGCGGTTTGCAGCGACAGTTAGATGTCCTTGCGGCGAAGGAAAGGAACTCAGGATATGTGCAAGAGATTTCTCAAAATCATCGGAGTCAGTTACTGTTTTTGATCATGAACACGTACGAAAGATAGACCAGATGCCAATAGCAGACTCACTGTACGGAATCTTACCATATAGCCAAAGAGGATACTGCGTGAAGACGACAGTCAATGGATCAGAACCAGTTCGTGTAAAAAGTTTCGTTCCAGTAAGGTTCTGATGGACTGTATGTGTGAATGTTTCGACGGCGAAAGCAAAGAAAACATCCCTGAGAGAGTGAGAGATGAGAATGGTTGATGACCCAGTGTTTTATTACCTCCATACAGAAAAAAAAGGGAAAGTCGTCTGCGAAGTAAGTCGTTTGTTCAGAAGCGTTTGATTAAAACATGATGGGAGGTGAGGACGTTCTCTGCGGCAAGAATATACCAAACAAGAATGGGAATTTAAGCCAGAAGATGCCTAGGATTCATTACTGTTTGTATGAAACTCGCAGACAAGATATGAGAAAACAAACTGGACTCCATAAAAATGTTAGTTCATCGGCAAACTTATGACGTCAGTGCAAACTATACTCAAAAACATTCATAAAGGGTGCGCTACGTTTTCAATCACGTGAAAGATTAGTTGAAGACTGCACTGGCTCCGTACTGTAGAAGCTACTGCTACTTTTGACGACTTGGTGTGTAACCTTAAGGACTTTCTAGTTCTCAGTGACGAAGTGCACATGTCAGCAATAAGAATCCCTATCCGCGTGCGTTCAGCACTGTTGAACACAAGTCATGATCGAAGGAATTGAAGACCGAAAAGAGATAACAGCCAAGAACTCGGCCGATTTAATGACGACATGAAATATGATGACCGGAAGCTTGATTAAGGATAAAAATGCGGAGAAAATTGGCTAATACACAGGAACCGAGTTAAAAGGAAGGTGCTACGATAAATAAGGTGGCGATGAAAGTAAAACCAAGAAGACAGGAAAGATAATAGTTCTGCCATTGGCAAACGTTGTAAGCAGCGAAAACTGGAGGAGCATGGAAGAATATAAAAGGTTGTTGACATTGTTTTGCTGCTGGTGAATGGAAAGGTTAGCTGACTGAGATGCATCCGTAAATAACAGTCAGCGACTTGCGATGCTCGAATATTACGGAGTAGCGAATAGCTTAAATGGCTTTCGTGGAACTTAGAAGGCCGGGAATCATTCAGTACAACGACGTGGTCCCGGAAAACTTGGTATTTTGGTGGTTCTCTTATTTTTGAAGTTTATATTTGGCTTCCTTTGGAACTTTAATTGCAGCTCAGCGCTGAATATTTGCCTGATGAAATTGATATTTGGTTTGACGAAAGTTGTGGTGCGAAAGAATGCGACAAAATTTAAAAACCCTGATGGTGACAAAAACTTTTCTAATCAGGAGAAAACGAGCGCTGGTTGTAAGGTTCTCACAATTCGCATTTTTCATTGTAATGGTAATCACAATATCACCATTAAATTCAGTTTCGATGAAGGCTTCTAACAAAGCTATGTCCGTATCGTGGGGGGGGGGTATTTACTTCAGTGCCAGTTTAACGTTCTTCGCGGAGGTGAAGGTGATAATGGTCATGAGAATAAACGATGTGCAAATACGACAGAATGTTGTCCATTATAAACGCGAACATTTCGTCTGTAGCCAATACAAGTATTGTATAATAGCATAGTTTTTCGTTTTTATTTGATTAAAACATTTAATATTTTGCATTAGAGAGCCGATGGCAGACGGGTCGGCTTCTTGCTTTGGTGATAAAGGGCTGAAATCTATCGAAAGAAAAAAATTTCATTTATCTGCTGTTTCCTTTATAAAACGAATTTGCGCAACGTTGCTTCGGTGCAGCCGTCTGAGAAACTGGTAGCAAGTTATTGACCTGCGATTAGTATAGACTGTACGATGTTGTTGTGTATTTATAGCTGAACTTGCGATTATTACGGACACCGTCTGATGAGGCACCTCTTAGGATTGCAGATTTTCTTAATGTGCCTTTATGATTCACTGTCAGTATGATAATCAGCACAAGGTTTAAGCATTTTTGTCGGTCTTTGAAGATTAAACTAACATTGCTTTTTAATAAAAATACTTTTTGTAATGGTCATTTAGTCTTGAGGTCTTGACAGGTGATTATCTGATAAGATATATTCTAATGTGTTTGGATTTCTGATTATCTCTAAAGATAGTGACTGCCATAATTAAAACTTCCCTATTTATATTTGATTTAATGTACGCAAATATAATTTGCAAAGCGTACTCCTGCTTTTATGTGCACAGTTTTGCTGACGTTAGTTTAGTTCTTATTTTCAGGCGGAGAAGGAAACAGATCCTCACTTAAACGGGCTCTGTAAGGCCGATATCAGCGCTCACGGCTGTAACGTTTACGACACGACATCGGAAATCATCGAGTGCTTGAAATCGAAGAAGTTTGACCTCGAACCTGCATGCAGGAAGTACATTTTCAAAAAGGAGGTGATGTCTTCTGTTGGATTTTTCCTTTCGCATAACTTACTGGTGGTTTGCAGAAAATTGAGTTTCTAGACAATACGTTCGACGTGATGATCCAGAAAACTTGTGCTAACGAAATACAATTCTTCTGTTCGATGACCGATCCAAAGCGCGTGTTGCATTGTCTGAAATCACACAAAAGGAGCCCGAAGATGTCTGATGAATGCCTACAGCTGATTCGTCGCCGTCAGCTTGAGCAGGCGTCCGGTAGGTGCCGTGGAACGGCGTTTCCAGCTTGACTATATCGCCTTCAAGATTTTCGACTCCATCCGACCTTATACAAAGTCTGCTTGGACGACATCAAGACCTACTGCCTCACGGAGTACAACTCTATCATGAATGCCCCTGAAGACGAAGCACACGCAGAAGTCATTTCTTGCTTGAGGCGAACAATCGCTGATCGTGGTCGTAAAAAAGTATGTTTTATTGTTTGTGTTTGTTTGTTTATATGTTATTTGTTTGCTGCAGGCCATGCTTGCCCAATCTTGCCAAAATGAAGTGAGGGATTTGATCTACGATTCGGAAGTAGATCCTCAGTTGGACCGCCCGTTCTATGATTCGTGCAAGAAAGATATCAAAATTCTTTGTTCCGAATCCATTATCTTGCGGAAGGGCCATGAAAGTATTCTGGAGTGTATGAAAGTTCATTTCACTGAAGGCCGTATCATCGATAAGCGCTGTGCAAAGGTAAATACGTTTTCTTCACCTTCGCCCTCTGATTGCTTGCCAGATAAATGTAAACTTTATTTTGACTGCCGCTTTATTGCAGAGCAGCTATCGTTCCTATCTCGTACTACTGGCAAACTTATTGTTATTTTATAATCTGTTACACGAAGAATATTTTTCAGTAGAGCCTGCAGCGTGCTACAAATTTATTACATCCAAAAAAGTTTCGTATTCTCCTAACAACATCCAGAACAACAGCATTCAGCCACTCTTAGCAGCCGCTCCGGCGGTCCAAGTTGGTCCTAATCGATTTCAGACTGCTTGAGGCTGTTTGCAGAGATAGCTACTGATGTTGCTCACATACGCCTCAGTTGATACACCTGTTTCAGATTGATGGCCGGATTTTGATATTCTTATTTTCTCCATGCGTTTTCTACATTTATTGGAAACTATTATTTCATACTCTCTCGTGCAAAGAATTTTTTCTGCTAGCCAGGGGCTAAGCATAGCCGGCTAACTACGGCCTAATAAAAGCTTTTTTATATTGATGATTTTTCGCATTATTCTGCATGTATCCTAAACAGCTGCTTCCCCTCTGCAGTTTTATAGTAGCCGTTTTGTGAGCCAGGTAATCCGATTTCTTCCTCGTTGATTTTGAAAGGAGGCTATTTATGAAGACGACATTTGGCGTTGTTCGCACAGTCTCTAACTGGAATGCCTCCTCCACATCACTAACCAGGTTTTAGTATCTGCCTCTTTTCGCCACCCATGTTTTCATTACATTTTCCTTCAGTGGAACTGCAACGTCGGTTATTTCTGCTGTATTGTTCTTTCTGTCCAAGATAATATTATTATCTCAGAATATGGAGTGGTCGAATTAGATGGTATATCAGTCATGCTCTCTGGATGGTATCGATGATTTGCCGTCATTTCTGAGATTATGCCTCTTTCAGGTACCAGTTGTTTGTGTATGATGTTTGCGAAGGTATTATGCAGTTTGAGGTTCTCGGTGTGAGCCGAAATCGTACAACTTGTGACTACCTGTTGGATCGATTCCGTTGTGATGCCGCGCCCGTCCAGTAGTTGTCATGTTTTCCATCATGATGTATTTCCTGTAGTTATTCGGAAGCACCATTTGATCTTGCGTTGCGTTGCCACTGCAAATCTCTCCCTGCGCCAATAATTCTGCCTCTCGGAGTCGTGCAAGCGACATTTCCACGGCGAATCCATCGGACGTAAGGGCAAAATTGTATCGCCCACGAAATGTAATGTTATGCATTCATCAAGTCTGGTTATTGCAGTCATTTTCTCATTTGATACACCGGATTGGAGCGGTATAAGCGCGGTCCCCTTTGCTTCTAGTCACCTAGAGGTCCATTTAAGCAGGCCGTGGCTCCATTGAATTTGAGCGCTTGCATTGCCTTGAAGCAAAACCGCATCATCAATCCGGTATCAAAAGAAAAGAATTATTTATCTTAGCGCTGGTGTCGATAACTAGCAGTATGCTAGTAAACCTATAAGGTCGGGTTTTATTTTTATGTATTAATACGCCTACGGATCATGGCATATTTGCAGGTGTCCGGACATACCTTTGTTCCGTCTTACCTAATGATTCGTCTACATGACTTGATTTTAGGAGTTGGCGAGGAAATCAAACGAGGAGCTGATAGATATTCATTTGGACCCGATGCTGAATTCCGCCTGTGCGATGGACGTTAAGCGTTACTGTAACGATGTCCCATCGGGCGACGTGAATAGTATAAAATGTAACCTCGTTTATGGCTTCATCCGTTTGGTTGTTTTAGTTTTGACATGTTTGCTGTCGGCCAGTCGCAGCTCAAATGTACAGATGTCGATCGAGTGTAAAAAGAAGCTTACCGACAGGGAGCGTCTCTGGCAAAAGGCAGTGAGCGTAAGCACAACCATTGGTTTTTCTGTTACATGTTATCTTATGAATAATATATATAGAGTATGGAAATATTTTAAAACCCTTCTTACTTTGGAAACTTTCCCTGGCATCTAATACAATGCCAAACTTGAAAACACTACACTTACACAAAGCACGTGCAGAGATAGACCTGCTTGCCCAAAGGAATGGGACGTATGCCGCAGCAGTGAATATTGCCTAATATAAATTTCAAGTAATTTTTTAACAGCCAGACATAAATTTGTTCACCGTACTTCTCAAGCTCTGTC